TCACCGGCCGCCGCGGCGCCCTCGCGGCCTTTGCTCATTCTCACTTCCCGCCGCTCCGGGGCGGCGTGACGCACTTCCGCAGCGCCGCTTGCTCTCCGCCAATGCCAGGCGGAGGGGGAGGAGCGCTCCGATTGGTCGCCTCGCCCGCGAGGGGGCGGGGCGCCGCCTTGTGGCCGGAGTCGAAACCGCCGCGGCACTGGCGCAGAGGGAGGAGCCTCCCGGGGCGGGGCTTGAGGCCTCAGGGGCGGGGCCTGGACCCTGGAGGCGGGGCATGATGCTCTAGGGGAAGGGCCTACCAGGGGGCGGGGCCTGGCTGGAGGGCGGTACGTGCTGCTTCGGGGCGGGGCCTAGTCACGGGGGGGCGGCTGACGTTCCAGGGGCGGGGTTTAGCTTGGTGGGCGGGGCCTGAGGCGCCAGGGGGCGGAGCCCGGCGGGGTTGGTGACAGAGGCGCCGCGGCGGGTCCCGGAGCTCGCGGCAGGAACCGAGCGGGGCGGCGGAGCCGGGTCGTGCCCAGGAGCCTCCCGGGAGGGGCCGCGGCCCCGGGGCTCTGGCCCTGCCCCTCGGGGAGCTCCCCCCAACCAGGACCGGGTCCCGGGGCCGCGCTGTCCGCAGCACCATGGCCGTTCCCACACCCACCGGGAGCTGCGGGAGACAGAGACACCGGCGCTCACAAAAGCTCGGGTAAAACCGCTGCGGCAAGACGCTTTCCGAAACGGGAGTCTTTATAAAATCTAGTGCCACTCGATGCAGCTGCTGGCACACGGCAGCGGCACAGGAGAGATGTCGAGACACGGGGCGTGCAGGGGAAACGACCAAGGGCGACAGACGACCGACCAGCTTCTCTGGCCTACAAAGTGCAGTACCCCCTCGCTGCCCCCCCCCTTGCTTCCATTGCTCATGAGCAGTAACTTCTCATCAATAGCAAAAAGCACCAAAGGATTCAGAATTACCTGTTCCCCAACGCGGTACTGCCCCGATAAGGCCAGGCTCAAAAGAGACTCCAAGGTTTCAGTTTGTACCACGTCACCCCCAAAGGTGGCAAAGCCTATGAGTAAAGACCTCCAAAAGGAAAGGAAAAATCTAGGGATGTGAAAGAGGAAACAGTTCTTTCAGTTCCACAGCGAGTAAGTGTTCCAAGTCTCTCTCCATCCCCTCGTCCTGGGGATCCTTCTCCAAACTGTCCTGTGGGCAGCGCTCGAGCGGATCTGGAGCCGGAGAGCAGAGCTGGAGCGTCCGGGTGCTTCCCGCTGCGCCCCAGCGATGCTGCAGGAGCGCAGAGTCTGTGGGCAGCTCTGCTGGGCTTGGAGCGGGCTCGACACCACTGTGCGGGGCAGCTGCTCCCCTGGGCCTTTCCACTGCGGCGGCAAATAAAACAGAGCCGGTGACAGGAGCTGCCCCGTCCACGCACACCCGAATCCGCCTGACAGGGCAGGTGCAGAAACCTCCAGACAGGAACCATGCGGATGCTCCGAGCTCAAGTCCAGTGGGCGCTGACACGGCCCTGGCAAGCTGCACAGCGGTGGCCTCGTAGCCATGCCTAAGGCTGCGATTTCAGCAGAGTCAAAAGCAGATTCTTTTTCTAGCAGCTTCCTTTTTTTAGCTAAAATTCATCTTGCTTCACCAAAAAGAACATCGGGGCCCCACGGGGCAGTGAGAGCTACACGTTGGGCTCCAGGTCCAGGCCCAGAACTACTTAAAGTGCAAGTTAGTGGCTTGTTCAGTTATTGCTCCCAAGAAATCAGGGGCTTCCAATAGCTCAAGTTTTGTCCTGGCCTCTAGGGCAGTGCAGTGACGAGAGCTGACCGCGGTGGCAGCAGTTACCAGCTCATGTGTTCAGTTACTAGCTCAGCGTTTAGCTCATGCTAAACTGTGTCAGGTACCACCAGAGAGAGCCCCATCTGCCCCCAGGCTGAAGGGAAAAGAGGAGGCTGGAAAACATTGAGTGACTGAGCAAGGTGAAGAGCTCCCACAGCAGAGAACGACACCCCCATCTGAAATAAGAAAGGAGTTTTAAAGCCCCAAGCGACTGCTAAGGGTGTTTAACACACAAACTTGGCTACCTGGTACCTCCCAGCTCTGTTAGGGATTTGGGAAAGGCTGGTTGCTTTCGGTGCCAAGAGGGAATGACATTTTATTAGATGATGGTTTGTCCTCGCAAGGCCTAAGTTAAGTTTTATGCTCATATTAAAGCAATTTAATAAAGCCTTGTTCTTACTTATGGCTGAAGACAGCTCCCTCTGCCTCCTCATCTCAAACTCAAGAACAATGTAAGTATCTGTATGGCCAATACTTTTAGGCAAGCAGATTTAGACAAGAAAAAAGCACATAAATGGGAGTTTTCCTGAAGAGGTAAATTTGCTGCACGCAGGTGATCTATCGGTCAGTCTTATGGCTTAGAAAAAAGCAATGGGAAAGCTCAGTGACTCGGAAAGACCTGGAAGGCTTGGGCTACCCAGCCTACAGAACGTCTCTCCCTCGAGACTGCTGGTTTGTTTAAGTGACCGTAATAGTTACATGCTTTTTGGTCACTTGGTGCTTGAGCTGGTGTCCTCTGTTCAGATCCTACTGGCAGGTTTTCAGCTACACGAAGTTGTGGAACAAAAGACTGTCTCGGAGACCAAGAACAAGCCTGGCCCGGGAGACTGGCTCCACTTCCCTCCTCCAGAAAACCTTTCCCTAGTAACTCCCTAAGAGGCAGTGTAAGGGAGATGGAGTATTGCTAGTGTCCATGCCGAACGTGTTCTGGAATAACACGGGGGAAAAAAAAGAACTTAGTCCATTAGTTGAGGAAAGCAACACGAGAGCAGCTGCCACATGTAGATGTTCTGTGCAGGATTCTAGTCATCACAGTAGGTGTCTTATTGCCATTATGTCTCTTACAAAACAGCATCACTGGAAAGCTTGAGCTGGAGATGAGTGCTCATTTCACGTGCAAACGTGTGTGGCAGTACCGTCACGTCCACAGCTGAGGCAAAACGAGAAGATTCTACCCAGAACTGGAAAGTGCTGGGGGAGAAGAATCAGACTCTATGCACATTTTAGTAGGAAATGGTTGTTTTAAAGACAGAACATCAAGTCTGAGGGGAAATCAATCCCATTCACCTCGTTACGTGGCACCCCAGGAAGGTCAGCCGCAAGATTGTTCTCGGTGACGCTAAGTCAGCCTGACTAGTGGCCTCTAGAGCGGTAGACACCAGATTTATTGTCTTATGTGAGGAAGTTTGGAGTAAGCAGCATCCTGGCAGATAATGCAGGGCAACGCATGGGTGATTGTGGAGCTATCACATCAACGCCTTTTCCCTATGAATTACCAGTGTAGTTTATTTTAAAATAATCCAAGCGAGGCTACAGAGTCACATTTCACAGTGGTGTTCCCAGCCAGGATTGGTTGTCTTATCACTTGTACTCACACAGGAGACAACTCTAGGTTACTGTGCAATGCCTTTTTCTTCAAGGATTCCCCTCCACGATGCACAACAGAAAACCAGAAGGGAAGGGATGTGATTGCTTATTGGCCCCGTGAGCCCGTCGGATCCAGCTGGTTCAGCTCAGACTGATCCAGCAGTTCAAAGTCATCCCCTTCTGCATCAGTGTCCAAATCTGAGCTGGCCGTTCTGAGAAAGGTCTTTGAAGCTCTCTGGGGATTGTCACTGCGTGAGGAGCCTGGCTGGGCGGCTCCTGATAGCGCAAGCTGTATCATCCCTCTGGTGACAAAGCCAGCGATGTTGTTGGTGAGATTCTGGACGGACGGCAGCGCAGCAGATTCCTCCTGCTCATAGGGGAGATGTAGATCTTCCGACACCTGTGAGCGGTAGGCAAGACTTGGAATCCCAATGCTGGTGTCTTCTTCGTCATCTATGCCAGTTGCTTCTGGATTTATGGAAGGGAAGTCAGGGAGATCGCGGGCAAAAGATTCTTCTGGATCACTGTGACCATCCAGATCTGGAAGAGGAAAGAGTGCTTTGAATGCATAGTACAAGAAAAGCAACCCTCAGGCAAGGGCAGCACAGTGCACTACAGGGCGACCGTTACCCAGCAGGACAGACTGGCTCTTATCCCCTCACAGACCAAACTGTTTAATCAGCTCTCACAGCTCCCACCGACGCCCGTTCACTCCTCAGCAATACAAAACGCTTGCTGCTGCAGGAAAGAACCCTCTCCCTCACTCAGCAGATAAACACAGAGTACAGGAAGGTCTTTAGAAGGCTGAGAAATGACTGTGTCTGTACTCTAATGGCAGGAACAGATAGACAGGCCAGTCACAGTGACACAGTTAATGCTACAACACTTATCTCTAGGCTGGTAGAGCTGCATCTGCCTGTGAAGGGAACCTGTTGCTGCTTTACTAAAGAACCATAGGAAGTAAGGAGGTCCTGCTGTGAAAAAAGAGGTAGCTGCATCTTATCTTAGTCAGCAAGACAGACATCAAACAGCTAAAGCTCAGGGATGGAAGGGAATACACACTGCCTGCAGCCTGTTGCACAGTTGCCTGCAGTATTCCAGACCTTTGAGAAACTGCCCATTTCCTCTCACCTTCAGATCCCTCTGTGAGCGGGGTCTGGCCTCTGGAAAGGTTAAACATCCCATTCTCCGTGTAGGAAACCTCAGCATCCGAATGCTCCGAGTCAGAGATCGCTAGCTCCTTGGCAACCACAGATTCATCCAGCTTTGAAAGAGGAGATACAGTTGAAAACACACAATACTGGGAAACTTGCACCTTACAAAAATGCAGTACTCTGGAGTGAGAGAGAATAGGAACGACAAACTCTTCCAGTAGAGAATATCCTGACCCATGTTCCACCACAGCTCAGCTACAATGTAGGGCCGTGCGCTGCAGGTCCATGCAACATGGCCAGCTTGTGCTGTGCAGCTGAGATTTGTTACTTCAGAGACAAGATGTTACCTTGGGGCAGAAGGCAGCGAGCTCCTCCTCGCTGTCACTCCCGTCATCCGCCGTCTCCTGGCTGAGGCCTCTCTGTCGCACTGCCAGAAAGCAGAGTCAAGGCCTATTATTGCTGTTAGAGGTCTGCACAGGAACAACCTGAGGCCAAGCAGGAAAACCCCGGCAAGAAGGACGCAGTGCAGCATGCTTTGTTCACAGAGCCACAGCATCACTTCTGAGCCGGGCTGCTGCAGATCTTTTGCCGAGAAGAACCTGGCAGCTGCCTTGCATTGGAAAGCGAGGAAGGGCTCTCAGCACGTCTGCAATACGGAGCTCTCGGTTCCGGCTCAGACCAAGGGCTCGTCAGGAGCTTTGTGTGGACACCGAGCTGCCTCGCGACCTTCCCAAAGCATTGGCAAGTGTTGGCCAAAGGCACTGGGGTGCCTACAAGGCAACACAAGCAACGGTCCCCACTTGAGACCAGGGGGGTGTCGCAAAGACTGTTTCAGATACCAAGTATCTACATCTGCAGAGTCAGAGACACACAGGGGAGACTTACGTTGCTTTTCCCGCTGCTTTGCCATCATGTAGCCTCGAACACCGAAATCCAGCCGCTGCAGAGCTGGCTCCAGCTTCGTGTACATGCGCTGGCCCAGTCTGTGGTACACAGCAAGGGGCCACAGCAGGATGAAGAGCACTGAGGTAGGTGGGAAGCCTCATTAGGTCCTTGTTCAAGACACTACTTAGCAAACTCCTTGCCTGGTTTGTCATGCAGTGTAACACACACACAGTCTGCAAGATCTGACCACTAATCTGGCACAATCATCTCAGCCAATTTATCAAAATTGAGAGGCCAACTATTAGCACTCAGATCTCTAGTTCCCAAGCCCCCAGACACGCTGGGTCTGGACTGGAGACTGGGCAGGAATCACCACATTTCAGGCAGAATGCACTGTTTTAAATCTAAAGCCATTCACACAAGCCTTGATTTGAGCAGGAGAGCCCCACCTCTCAGATATTCGAATCCCATCATCTCTACCTCTCTTCACTGTGAATTTGGCACAGGGTCCTTCTACTTACTCAGAAAGTACGAGAGCAGGACTCCAGGGATGTACCGGCCCAGAACAGCCAAGAAAGTAAAGACTCCACATACTAGAAGGCAAAACTGAAGACATGGGAGACAGTGAACACTTAAACACCAGATTCATTCCATTTTCAAACATGTTGCGCTCTGCAGAATTCCAGGGAGTGAAATTCTAATTTTAACAACAGCAAAGACTTCCTAACATTCAACTACACTGTTCTAGGGTTAGAATCTGTTAGTATCTGGTTTTGGAGTGATAAACAACATAACAAGGCTTCTTGTCCCTGCATATAATGTGCTTCTCAAAGCAGATGTGCTGAAAGTAAGAGGTTAAAGAAGACAGAGCTCTCCCAGGTGCAAAAGCACAAAGAAGTTATCACCGTGATAGAGTGATATGCTATATGCTATATATAGAGTGATATGCTATATGCTACTTTGCACATGCCTCAAGAAAAGGCACGAAACTTTTTGCGCTGGTTCTCAAACTATTAAAATCGAATGACAAATGAGTTTGAGAAACTTAAAAACCAGAAATCTACAGAAGGAGCAGTTATATTTTCACTCATGCAACCAGCAGGGCAACACTTGCTTTCTCCTCTCTCCACAACAATGCACAATATTCTGCCTGTGCTTTCCATTCCTCTCTACCACTTAACAGTCATGTCATTCTGGGAGGCCTCCCATGGTAACTTCCCATGTGTGGGACACACTCAGCCAGGTCTGGATACAATTCCAATGGGATACTAACAGTCAGCAGAGGGTGGGTACCAATATTTCACTTGCTGGAGTCTGTACTCCCTTACCTTGCCAGGGTTTTGCCTCTTGAAAATAAAGAGATTTCTCAAGAAGTTGGTCCCGGTCACCCATCCTTCAGCCAAATGGTGACACAGCTCTGGCACTCCAAGCAGCCGAGGGTGAACATATCCCCAGCTGCAGCGAAGGGAGGAACACACGGACAGGCATCACTGCATGCAGTGCAGTGCACTGGAATTCACTTATCCCAAAGCACTTGTCCCAGGGCTGCCTTCTCTTTCCCCGCAGCTGCTGAGCTCTGGAGATGGGGGTCAAAAGCAGCGCTTACTGCTACGATTCCACGGGTGTCCCCGTTCTCTCAGAGCACCTCAGCAGCAGTAATTTGAGTCACTCGGTCTTTTGTCCCGCACTAACATTTCCATGCTGCCGTGCAACACGAGCTTATCCTGCCGAAGCATGTTCCAAAGCAGGCAGCTTCAACCCATTATCAGGAAAACCTTGCCAGCAACTAACACACCGCACAAAGCTTAAAAAAAGGCAGTTTAGCTGAAGACAAAAGGATAAAGCAGCAGCAAACTAAGTGGTTAAATTTGCTTTCTCTGCATTTTCAGGGCCAAGTGCATCCGCAGGGAATTCAGCATGATGTTTCCCAAGCAGTTTTGCACCATACCTGCCACGTACAGTCACGTTCGAAGGCATTAAGCTGCTTGGCAAGTTCTACTAGCGCTTCTTAGCCGCTAGTCACAAGGACCTGAGGCTGAGCGGGAGCAATTCCCTTTGTACCTGGGCTGCTCGCAGGAACATTTGTCATCTGGCAGCAGATGAAGCAGTTTAAGCAGGAGCTTGGGCACCAAGCAGGGCTCAGCAGGCAGGGAGGGAGGCGTTATTAGCCACGCAGCACCCAGTGCTTCTCAACCCATTATTAACACTGTGCTCAGGCCATAACTATGCGGCGACAGCTCCAGGACAAGCCTGTTAAACACCCCATAACTAGATCTTCTGCTGGCACTGGAGACCTGCACAGCAGGATGTGATTTTAAGGCAGCACCTCTAATTTAAGGGGGTTGAGGAGAACTGCTGGGGGGAGTTTTACAGCGTCCAAGTAAGGATTATCATAGTCCACTATCAAGGTAGAGATTAAGTATTAAAACCTTGGCACAACTGCTTCACAGGGCTCCATGCTCCCTCCACTAAACAGCTCCCTTCTCCCCCTTCCCTTCCCCATCAAAGCAGTCAACACTAAAAACATACAATAACCAGGTAATAATTATATATTATCACAGCAAAGTATCAAACAGCAGAGGACTCAATTAGTTTCCTACCTCTCATTGTCTAAATCGTCCGGTCTTGCCACTGAAATATTAAGAAGAGACACTAAATTAGTCGCAAGGAATCCTGCCGCGAGAATGCTTAGCTCTTGGGATAAACCTGAAGCTTTAACGAGTTGGGAAACACCTAGAAAAGACATTAACTAATTAAGGCCCAGCGCTGCATCACTTTGAAGCGCGCTCTGAGCGAGCACGGAGCTGTATTGCTGGGCAGTATCTAGAAGGCTGCTTTGGCTACAGCAACAGGTTTTAGCAGGAAAAATGCTGCGTTCACCTCCCTCCCTCGCCTGCCCACGGCTGCTGGGGCCGGCAGAGCAGCCTGCTTATCCAGAGGCATCCGAAAGTCAAGTCTTTCGATGCTTTGTCACGCAGTCGGGTATTTGACAAGCGACGCGGGGAGGCAGCAGTTATGCAGCCAAATTCAATCCAGGCCATGAGGGAGCTGCAGGGAGGACTCTCCCTCCTTCTCTGCAAGCAGAAATACTGCAATTATGCAGTAACTGCTGATAGAAACCAAGAAAAGCTGGTGATAGAAACCAAGCAAAGCGCTAACATCTCCTCAAGAGCTGCAGAGGGGACACGGTGGAGCAGGGAGGCCACACGGGCCGCAAAACCCCGGAGCTGCTTAGAACGCTGCTCGTCAACGGCGGCTCTTACAGGCTGGTTTAGGAAATTATCTTCCTATCACAGAGTTCTTCTGGGAGCGAGCGCTCCACAGAGCGCCGGCTCGAGGCCAGGGGGATCGTTCCTCCTAACCGGAGGTTATCTGATCCTCGACACCTACAAGAGCGGTGACGAGCGGAGATGGCCGGAGTCCAAACGGGGCTGATCCTCCCACACACCCTAAAGCCAGGGCTGGCAGGGCCCGCGGTGACGGCGCGGGGACACCATGCGGGGACACCCCACGGATGAAGGATCTCGGGGAAGCCCCGTGTTGCAGCCGACCGCCCTTCCACGTAGCTCCCGAGGCGGCCGGGATGGACGAGCCCCGCCGCAGCCGCGCTCACCTCCGCCGGGCCGGGCCCTGCTCCGCCACTGATCCACGCACACGAGCAGCACGAGGGCGAGCGCGCCCAGGGACACGGCCCGCAGCGACGTGAGCGCCAGGAACCTGCGGGGCGAG